ATAATAAGTAGTTTATTTGTATGCTGTTTCAATGTTTTGATATGGCAAATGGGGGGGGGGAATTGCCCACTGCCCTCATTCCGATGTTATGACACTGGCCAAAAGTATATTGTCCATCTCTGTCGAATTAGTTCATAAAGCAAAATACACTGATGCCTATCTGTATGGAACTGAGGTTGTCACCTACACTAAAACCAAGGTACCTACACCTATAACATATATGCTATAGCACTTTATTTTATATTTTTTCATTCTTTCACGACCGTTTTCGGTAAAAGTTATACCAATATATTAATTATACTAATTAGCGATTGGAGGGGGCTTATAGCTAATTTTTAACCTATAGGTAGTTAAAGGTTAACGCATGAATTATTTTTTTTAGCTCACGAAAAAAGAATATATTTTTTTTTTGTTTATTTAAATGGTTGTCATTGGTTACATATTATTACCTATATTTGATACTATTTTAATAAATTATTTCCATCCCCCGACCGGTATGGTAGAAACCTATGGGTGCCCAATTCAAAATTCTGCCAAAACCAAACACACGTGTTAACCCAACCTACAGTACCCTCCCCACCAATTGAAAAATTACTCAATGGCCTAGCTATGTTGCCGCTGATTAATAAAAAAAATAAATTATTATTAGAAATATGGCATCTAAATTTTTTATAAATATACATGAAAAGACAAATCTTTGGCACGGATAACGTCGGGTTAGACAGCTAGTATTGTATATATATTTAAGATTCTGAGTAGATCGAGGAAAAAATTGGTTTTACAGTAGAGCGTGTTTTAAAATTTTTTTTATATTGGTCTACATTGTTTAGAGCAGAACATATATGCTTTTATAATCAACTTTTAGTGTAGTTTATGTTAGAAAATTTGATCTAGTTGGTAATTTACAATGTCAAAATTAAGTAATTCTCAGTATTTATTTTCTCAGTTTTAGTAATTGTGAAAACTTACAAAACAAAACGCATAAAGGAGAAGCAAGTCTTTTTTCGACAAAATCGATTTTTTTATAATTCAGAACGTTATAAATGTGGACACGCTTGACATTTAATATTTTCACCAAATATTTATACAAGCACTAACATTATGCAATATGATATAATTTTCAAATATTTTCATTTTTTTTCCAGTTATTTATAAATATTTGGTGTTTTAAATTTGCTCCCTATGTGGAGTTGATTACTTTTCTAATTACAAATGCTGTCCAATAAACATAGCTTTCCTGAAACAACGTAAAAATTAAAACCACCACATTCCGAATAAAAAACACGTGGCGTTGCCCTTTCTGGCCTTTCCCAACTCTCCCTCTATCAATATCAAACTATTTTACTTCCGTTGTTTCTGATTCCTATAGTAAAATCATATCACCCACCTATAGTAGTACGTCGCGCGTCGCCATCTATATATCTTTAAAATCTTACTGCGTTAATTAATAGTGTTTAATGTTTAATGTTTAATTCTCTCATTTAATTTGTTACTGGCTTAATGTTGTGTTACACAAACAATATACCTATTCCATATTTTATTATTATTTCTTTCTTTACATTACCTAATACGTAATATCATTGTAATGTCATTAAACGTTAGAATACGTTATTTCTACCACTAAAAGAAATTCTTCTGTCTAATAGTACACTTTTAATTTGTTTAAGATTTTATGATTATGCTATAATATAGCATATTTTAATACCATGGCATTATTATAATATTATTCACTATTATTATACTAGATATTTAAACATATACAGTCGATTCCGCTTAATAGAGACACCGGTTAATAAGGACAACCGCTTAATAGGGACAATTCTTCAATTACAAAAACAAATGTATACTTGTAGGGTAAACATTCACCGCTTATTTGGGCCACGAATCCGGATAATTGGGACATTTCTATCGAGTATATTAATAGATCAATAGTTCAACAATCGTGACGGACTCTCGTAATCGATTATTACATTACATTTTATCTTATTTAACTTTATTTTATCTTATCTTTTATCGTATGTTCAAATGTGATAGTTGTTAAATGTTATTTGGTGCAATGGTGCATCAGTCGTGTTTGTCGCGTGTAGCAACGATGGCTCGTGTACGTAAAGATTTATCGTTTGCTCAAAAATTAGAAATTCTGGACAAAATTAAATTACAGCTACCAGGCTGTAATACACGTCGTATTTCGGAAATTTTAGGAGTACCGAAATTAACAGTTTTTTTAAATAAGATAAAATACATAATAAACAAATAAAAATATTTATATGTACCTACTTTATATGTAAGTATTTTTATAAATAATTAGGTTATATCATGTTTTTCTTTTTGTACTATCAAATAATTTCTATAATACATTGTTTGTAATTTGTAATAATAAAAATATATAAAACAAATCAGTTTTTCAACAAATTTATATGTTGGTTTTTGTATTTCGGATTATTGGGACAACCGCTTTATTGGGACAAAATAACACCCAACCGATGTGTCCCAATAAAGCGGAATCGACTGTATTATACACTATATATTATTAATGGCAGCTGTTGAGTTTTATTAGTGTTCATATTGTAACTATAATAATTAATAACGTTTTGGCTAAAAGTTAAATGTGGGGTGTAATAAATGTGCATTGGGTTACCCTATGACCAATAGCATCCTTTATCAAATTATAGCTAATGCAAACTATCTTCAAAGAAATATAGGTTGCAGGTAAAATATTGGAGGCAATATGGGCAGAGTTATTAAAGCACTTTTTGTTTTGTTGCTCTAAATACGATTATAAGAAATAAAAATAAAAAACAATAGATACGTCATTGTAAAATCAATAGCTTGGAATTTAAAATATTCTTAATAATTATGACATGACTTATAAAATGATTAATTTAATTTTTGTTATGTATACAATATATATTATTATTATATAAGATTATAACGTTGTTCGTTAAATAAGTTATGAAGTTATTGATTTTCGTGACCAAATAGTGTGTTTTATAAACTATAATTACCATAGTCATGGGTTCGTCTGCAGTGTAAAATGTATACACGAACGTTACATAAGGGAAAAGTCACTAAGAAATCTACTAAATATTTAAAATGGTATCATCCCCTTGCTAGGTAGGTCATGGCAATAAGTCCTCCCATTCTATGACCCTTCAGGCTACTCATGTTATACCATTTATACTTTAGTATTATTGCAACCCTTCTAGAACCTAGAGTCAAGACTTAACTAATTGCGTTGGTACATGGAGAAAGTCTTATTAATTCAAAACTCAAGAACTTCAACACACGGATATAAGTTCTTGATTATATTGGATTAAAGGAAAGGTACGAGCACGTAATTTCTATACATAGGTCTATTCCAAATAATATTAATAGTTTTTTTGTTTCTAACTTTATAAGTGGTTAAGTGTATGGTATATATTTGGAAATGATACATGTGCGTAATGCATCCGAAGAAAGCTTAAATTGTGTATAATTTTTATTATCTTCATTCATCATTGCTTTTGAATGATAACCTATATAATATTATGATAACTATATATTCAAAGAACCTAAAATACAAAAATTAAGTCCATAAAGATATATAATATAATGGAAAATTGCATTTGTGTATGTTTTGAATTTAAATTTAAACATAATATAAAATGTATTCGTATCACTTATTGAAATGCTAAACAGCTATGAGTATTGTATATTTTGAAACAATATTAAACATTATACTTATTAGTATATACCTTTATAATATAATATACATTTTACTTTTTTAGGTTTACATTACAGTAAATAAATATAATATATAAAATATATATGACATTTGCAGAATGATAATTTTTTTTCTTACACCTACACTGCAGCTATATTATGCGTACATTGAGTGGTTGATTTATTGCACTTGATGATTTATAAAGTTTATATGTCACGTATTATACAGGGTGATTTATAAAATCCGTTACTTACTACTTAGCCATACCTACTTATAATGAATTGTCTTACATACACGTAAACTAGCAGGTAAACTTAACATAAATAAAAATTATTTATTTTCACTATAAAGATTTGAAAAAAAAACATATTAACTATGCTCCAATTAAAGCTATGTCATTTAAAAATAAGTTAAATAATATCAACATTCCATATAATATAATCTGAAAATAGCCAATAGGTTGGTTAGATACCAACTAATTCATTATAATTTATAGATAGTTTGTATACTATATTTAATTGAAATATAATATATTTTAAGAGTTTAAGGAATCTACTATAAGTAGATATTGTGTAGTAATTGATACTGTGGATTAAAATTAAAATTGATAGAAAGTATAATTTTATTTATAATTTGTTGTTCCTTATTTGTAAGCAAAATTATACTATACATTATCTTATAAATTATTAAATAATATTATTTCACGTACCTATATGGTATTAAAATTAAATATGAAAGTTTAAGATAAACCCTTGTATTGAATTAAAACACATTATGGGATTCATAAAATAGTATTTTAAAATAGCTATATAATATGCTATAGATAAAGGTAATACGCTTGTTTAGTTGCAATTATAAATGGATTTATATACTCATATACATATATGGAATACAACATAGCTGGGCAATAGAAAAATTATTTTATCTTTAAGCTTAGTTTTATAATTAATCTAGACTATATAGGAATACATATTATAGGTTTAGGTGTAGTGCTTAAACACTGTAAAAAAAAAGCTCTTGTTACAAATAATATAATTTAAGATACATTTAATTTAAATTTATAACTTACCAGCCTATTTTGAAAATTACTAAATGCTAATTTTTGTGATTAAAATTATTACCTATATTAGAACCTATACGAAATGAAAAAACAGCCGTACGATTATACATTTTCTAATCTAAGAAACCTACATAATATTATATAAAGAATTGAATACACGAATCAAGAACAAATTGTCGTTATAGTTGAAATATGCTTTTATTTTGTTATTTAACAATTTGTTCGGGTTTTTCAGACATGGGTTTCAAGAAAGATGGTCTTATAAAAGATTTATGGCCAAATATTCGATTAATACAAATGTCGGGTCTATTCATATCAGAGTACTATGATGATTATTCTGGATTGGCCGTATTGTTCCGAAAGATTTACAGCTGGATCACCACAATTATAATATATTCGCAGTTCATATTTATCGTAATGTTTATGGTCACTAAATCCAACGATTCGGATCAGCTGGCTGCTGGCGTGGTAACTACATTGTTTTTCACCCATTCGATGATCAAATTCATGTATTTTAGTACGGGTACCAAGTCGTTCTACAGAACTCTAAGTTGTTGGAACAACACCTCTCCACATCCTTTATTTGCAGAATCTCATTCGAGGTAAATTAAATTATAAGTTGACAAGTTGTTAAGTTGTATGATTGATAATAAATTAAAAGCTATAATAAGTAACAAAAATAAATGTGAAATATTAAAATTACTCAAACGTATATTTAAACGAAATTAATTGTAGTTTGTTAAACATCGGCAAGTTTCTAACATTTAGGCTCCCAAATTAAATTTTAAACATATACTATTATGAAATTATTTGTCCTTAAGATTATAGGGACAAAATATTGTGATGTTTGTTTTAAGAATTTGAGCCATAAATTAAATTTTAGTTACAATACAAAGTACAATACAATGAAAAAAAAAATAGTTTTTATTCGATAAAAAATTTTGTACCACCACAGGACAATTGGTAAATTGGCCCTAGTGATTAGGAGGTATTTATTTATTTGTATTTAAATACAATTTATTTTACTTTTTTAGTTTATTATAGGTAATTATAGACTAGTTGACTATGTATAGTAATTTATTATTCTATATTTAAAGAAAATAATAATATTCTAAACGCTTGGTAAAATAAATAAATCAATTATATGATTTACACAGTCATGGAATAAATATGAATATAATATATAATATACTTATACGCGAATATTGTATTATTTGTTTATTTTATACATACATACATATATATATATATATATTATATTTATTTTGTGACATTTTTCATTTCAGATTCCATGCAAAGTCATTATCTCGAATGCGACAACTTTTGATTATAGTTTCGATAGTTACAATTTTTACAACGATAAGCTGGACAACTATTACTTTCTTTGGTGAAAGTGTATGGAAAGTTCCTAATCCTGAAACATTTAACCAAACAATGTATGTTCCAGTACCCCGTTTGATGCTACATTCTTGGTATCCTTGGGATTCAAGTCATGGATTAGGTTATATTGTGGCTTTTGTCTTGCAGGTATGCTTGGTGTGGTTAAATTAAATGCAAGAAAAATATAATTAATTATAAAACATTCATGAATATCCTTGTAGATTGGTTGAAAGGGTAGAATTTGAATGTGATTTTAAAACTTTAATATATTTTAAAAGATCTAACACATAGATCTTTAACATAGTACCTATTCAGTATCAGACCGACCTATAATTGATCTATAATTGATGTGTAATAATTAATAAGGTATCAATGAACTAAACGATAAAAAAGTATTAGTTTAGTTAGATAACCCTGGAATAGTGTTAATTGATAACCCTTGTATTTTTACTTTTTTAGATTCTGAGTGGAACGATGAATGTATTGATTTTACAATGATGTGTGTTTTTTTTATTTATTTATTTTTTATTTTTTTATTTTTGTGTCTGTCATCACCTTTTAGGACAGTAAAAGTGCTTGGATTTTCTTCAACGGTATCTTTTCTGATAGGAAAGTGAATCTAGTTGGTAAAAAAGGGGGGGGGAAGTTTTTCCAGTAGTTTTCAAAAGTGCCGTGAAAAACAATTGAAAAATTAAGGGAAAACGGGAATTTTTACACAAAATCTGTTTTCCACAAAATCAATTTTGGTTTTTGGTGTAACTTTAAAACAAATTACCGTAAATACATGCAATTTCCACTGGTTGTTTATATTTAAATTTTCTATACAAGATAACATTTTCAAAATATTATGATTTGTTTTGAACTGTTTAGGAACATTTTCATTTTCCATTTTTTTTTGGTTTTTTTTCTATAAATATCAATAACATTTTATTTCTTGGTTAAAAAAGCTTGATAATTTAATAGAAGGCTCCTAGTATATTGTTTCAAAGGCAGATAAAAAATATTAAAAATCCTTACTCACAGTTTTATTATAAGCATTTAAATTTCAAAAATTGACAAAATATGGAAAAATCACGTAAATTAGCAAATTATTTTGAGTTAAGAATTGTAAAAATTTTTCTTTTTAAATCTAAGATTTTTAAATGTAATACAAGATTCCTGATAAGATTATCTACCTTTATCAAAAAAAAAAAAATGTCTATAAGAAAGTCAAATTACATTTTTATGAGCGTTTGAAATTCAAATTTTTTTCAAATTTGACTCTTTTTGAGCTGTTTACGGACATTTTCAGATTTCAATTTTTTTAGTTTTTTTTTTCTATAAATATCAATAAAGTTTTATCTGTTAGGAAAAATAGTGTAAACATTTTATACAAGGCTCCTGATATATTGTTACAATATCAGTTTAAAAATATTAAAAATACATCGACACAATTTTTTTATAATTATTTAAAGATCGAATTTTGACAAAATTTATCAAATTTAAAATTGAATAATATTTTGTAGTTAAAAATTTATAAAATGTTTAGCTTTTATATCTAAGGATTGAAAATTTAAAACAAAATCCCACGTAAGTAGTTTATTCTGTTACCAAAAAATCTAAAAAATACATAAGCACAGTTTATTTTTATAGCCATTTTAAGTTCAAATTTGGACAAAACTACATATTAAAAAACCTAGAATAACTTTTTTAGTTATTTTGTTGTGATTGTTTAATATTATTCGTGGGTAGGTACTTGAAACTTCTAAAGTATACTACTATGTATCTATGATAGTATCACGATTTGTTATTGATGTATAACGCGTTATAAGTATCTAATGGATATTATTGTGATATGATTAATTTGGAATTTATTCTAGATACCTATTATAGGTCAATTTTTTTTAATACCATTGATAAGTATATAATTGTCTTATACCTAGACTGACATACCGTCTCCGCTCAGAATCGTTTTCTTATATAATGATATTATATCATTGAATTCAAATTTAATACCATCCATTATACAGTGACCCACTTGTAACCTACTGTACAGCAGAGCAACTTTTTTATTTTTTAATATCTTAAATTATACTTTTATTTTAATTTTCCATAATATTCTTGAAATTGACGATATTGTGAAATTTCCATTTAGTTTTATTGGATATTCATAACTCTCAGTCACTCAAACTTAATGGAACTATTATTCTCATCATTTCTGGTGCATGCATGTGAACAACTTCAACACTTGAAGGAGATTTTGAACCCATTGATTGAATTAAGTGCTACCCTTGATTCATCAGTTCATAATCCTGCCGAAATATTTCGTGCCAATTCGGCTAAAAATCAATCAATGAATGGTATCGGTAAGTTAATACTACTTATTATCTATGAAATCGAATAATATATTAATAAGCAGGGCTGTGAATTTAATGCACTAAGTATTAAATATACATGAATTTACACAAAGAAACCATGGGAATATGCATTTAAACGCGATGATCCATGAAATATGCAAAAATATGCAAAATAAGATTTCGTATATGAACTATAAATAATTAAATGTATATACTGTATTTTAAGAATTATTTATAATAATTAAAATAACAAAGTATTATAAATTATATTTAATCAATTAACATCTGAATAAACGAGAAATATTTGATAAAGAAAAAATAAATAGAGCTAAGAGTGATTATAAAAATACATTTCATAATAATATACAATTTGAGGTACCTATAAAGAAAAATGGCGAGAAGCAAATTAATATGTACCTATTTGTCTTAGTAGATTAATATGGTATTGACTTTGTATACAAGTAGGTACTTATAGGATATAGTTGGTATATGGTATCAAGAACCATAATTGCAGTTTTCATATACATGTTAATGGATCTTGAGATTTATAAAATACTTATAAAGTTATAACAAAAATATGTATAAAGATTAATATTTAGGTAGGTACTTTTAACTACCTATGTGAATAACGAAAAATAATACTTATGTATGTATATAATATCTATATTGACATATTGTGTATGAATAATATTAATAAAATAAAATATGTTCAATGTTCATACTTGTAATAATGAATCGTAATTAAATTAAAGTTCGCTATCATAACATATTAAAATGTTAAATAGTAATACACTTTATATTCGTTTTATATAAAATCTACTAGCATAATCTACTACATAATTTTATTTTTCATAAACCAAAAGTTTTTTATTCTGATAAAAAATATTTTTTACTACTTATACTCGAGAGGTTCAATACGTGATAAAAGCAAAGTTTTTTTTATCAATTGTAAATATATTGAACCAAAATAAACTTGGTAATTCTAATTAGATTGTGAGAGTAACAACTAACAAAATAAACAGCAAAAAACCATAAAAAATAGCTGAAAACCGGGGAATTTAAGCAACAACAATTTTTGTTTTAAATCATAAAGAAGAAATGACAGAGCTCTGTCGACTGTCAGAGTCTAGACTATAAGCTTCAAATTTATTTCAGGTGTCATGATATATTATAGAGATTTAAACGCAATTAATAATGTTTTAAGTTAGGTAATATGATATTACTATAATATCGTATTAGGTACCGATATAATAATTATTGGTAACATTTTTGATTCCGTACACAATGTTCATAACTAGCTCGGATCTTATAGCATTACAATATGAATACATAATATTTTTAAATAGCTACATGGAATGAATTTGAGTTCCGACTAGATGTTGTTCGTGTGACCAAGGGAAGTCATATAGAACATTTATAGGTAATATTAAATAAATATGAAATATTGTTCTCTTATTTAATATATCATATTATATTACTCTAAACCTGGGGTCGCCAATCTTTTTTCCATACTGTTTAAAAAAAAAACAATTGAGAATGTGCCATTAAAAATTAACATTATTAATGTTATTTTGACACAATAATTGTTGTGTAATACAATATTTACAACTTTTAAGATTTAATTGATATTTAAAAACATAACTTTAGAAATACTTGAATGTTATATTTTATTTTATTTGACGCTTGTATGCCATTCAATAACATCAAATGTGCCCCAAATGGCACGCGTGCCCCAGGTTGACAACACCTCCTCTAAACCTAAAAACTTTTTTTTTTTATTGATCTCAAAAACCCGGAATCTAAGGGCATTAGGTACAGTCATTACAATGTCTTAGGTGTGTTCATAGGGATGATACATTGGACTGATAGTAATGTGGTGTAAAGATGATGTCAGCGCACTATTAGTTTTCTCTCTCTGGCCTACGTGCAACATAGACAAAATGCATTAACGTAGAATAATTTTTTCCATGTGTTTTATGTAATCTTAGACTCTTAGAGTAAAATCACTCATTACAAAAAATATAGAGAATAATATTTTTGAGGAAATGGCATACCGATTTTATATTTTATTGTTATTTGACCTTGTATTTGACTTTCTGAATAAACAAAAAAATGTTGTAAATTTAAATTATGTTTAAACTGTTTTGAGACAATATTTAAAAAAATCGATATGTCATTCCCTCAAAAACATTATTCCCTATCTTTTTTGTAATGGGGGATTTTACTCTCAGTACTCTGACATCCTCTTATATGGTTTGTATAGTTCCGAATGTTCCGATAATTACAAAATGTACAAATATTTACACATGTCCTAATAAATATAAAAATATTATGGAACAAAAAAAAAAAGATGTATTTAAATTATGTTGTATGATACTGGTGATGGTCGATTATTTTATAGTTGTCTTCGGTTTCGGGTCCGAGTGCTGAGTCGAGGCTCCCGTCGAACTGGTTCATATTTCTGACATCAAAATCTTTTATAGTGGAGCATTTTAGCATTTTATAATGTAAGAATTATTTTGAAGAATTTTGTTGAAACCCTCACTTTAAAAGTTTAAAAGCATTTAAAAAATTCTGTGACTACTATGTATTTTCAAAAATTTTGAATTGGTAGGTATATGAAAAATGTATGAGAAACCTTGTATTGAATTTTCAAGTTTTTTGACCAAGGGAAAATTTTTTTATCAACATTTATAGGAAAAAACTAAAAACAATTAAAATTGAAAATTCTAATATAAACATTTTGTAAAAATTTCGAGTGTCTACCGTTAGACGTTTTGGAGTTATTCCAAAAAAGAAAATACATTTTGTCAATACTGGTTTTGGTTGAAATTCTAGTTTTTGTTTTTTCTGGTAATTTGAAAGTTCTAGAAATGCTTTATTTTACTTAATTAGTACTACCTATAAACTACCAGAAACCACCCTTAGTATTCAAAATTGAAGCATTTGTATTGCCTCAAAAGGTAATGATTGACAGAAAAAATTACACATCATTGTAAAATCAATACATGCATCACCTAGCACAGAGTTTAAAAGACGAAATTAATTTTACTTTTAGCTAAAATACTTATATTATAACAGTTTTAAATTTAAGAAGCTGAAATATGCACTCGTAAATCTCAAAATGTAAAATATGTAGAAATATTATATTTCAACTATTATATCATGAAACAAATATAGGTATCTATTCAACAGTCAACTCTTTTATGTTGATTATACAAAAATATGCAAAATGCTTTAAATCCGAGCTATGTTTGTAAGTTTTATTATAATATTTTAATTTTATTGAAACTAATAAAATAATATTTTCTTTAATTAAAAATCTGTTATCTTTTAAATGTCTTTGTTGCTTGTAGTCATAAGGGGTTTTAGGACATTTTTACTTATGCTTATTATTTTTTTTTTTTAACTTTTTAAAATATTTAAAAACATTGTATCTATAATGTGTTTAAATTTGATAATTTAAGTAACTTAATGTAAATATACTTATAAAATGTTTTTAAAAAATAATATTAGATCGCGATTACAATGGGTCCTACGTGAATGAGATTACTGAGTATGGAACAAAAGGGGAAAATGAGCCAACAGAAAAGGACCAATAACTTAACTAGCAATCAAGAAGTACTTGTTCGATTCAGCAATTAAATACTGTGTAGAAGCGACATAAACATGTTGTCAAGTATGAACATTTTAATTAGGGATGCTTGTTGAAGGTGTTTAACAATTTAAAATTTATTAATTTGTATTTATAGGTACGTGAGTTTACTACTGAGTGCTATGGTTCGGCACTTCTTTTTCACCTGTTAGTGAGCACCGTCATTCTCACATTCGCGCCTACCAAGCAACCAAGGTTTGTCGGAATGTCTCATAAAACTACCTTGACAGATATTCAAAATATATAGTTTGAACAATTTGATCAAATTATTAGTGTATTCATTTTCTAAACCGGATTATCTTGAGTTTCTGCAGATCGATCTTTATAAAGGAATACAAAATATCCTTGTTGTCCATTGTAAGTGATCTATTATTTTCATTTTAATATATAACTTATGATAGCTACTTGAAACTACTCTAAAATTTAATTACAAATCAAAATAATCTTCATACCGATTATAATATACGAATGCAATACATTAGTAATTGATCATAATTATTAAAAAAATATTTTTCTTATTTTATCTAATAGCAATGTTACATTTAAAATACATTTTTAAATATATAACAGATCAACGGAGTCAATGTGTTTGCGTTTTCTACCATCGGATACTTGATGTATTCTTTCGCACAAATATTTATGTTTTGTATACATGGCAATGAACTCATTGAAGAAGTGAGTATAAGCTTAAGATAAGGTTTCTATTTTATTTTAATTGCCAGCTACATAATATATTGCAAAGTAGACCGGGAGAATTTACAATTTCAAAACCGTGTAATAATCATATACCTATTAATACACCTATTATATCCTTTGTATACATGCTAAATTGCTAAATATACATTTAAATAACATTTCGATTTTGTATACATTCTGATTATTTTTAGAGTTCATCTGTAATGGAAGCGGCCTACGGTTGCCACTGGTACGATGGATCCGAAGAAGCTAAAACATTCGTCCAAATAGTGTGCCAACAGTGCCAAAAGCCTTTGATTGTGTCTGGGGCGAAATTTTTCAATGTTTCATTGGATTTATTTGCATCAGTAAGATAACTTTATTTTTTACTTAACGAGTATACAGTTTTCTTTATATACTTATTGACATATTTTATTTACTTCTTAAATTAATATAGGTAATATAATATTGTATCGACTATAATTTATTGAAATTATTTTATTTCCAGGTTCTAGGTGCTGTAGTAACATACTTTATGGTTTTGGTGCAGCTTAAATAAAATCTTTCAATAAGAAATACTGCTATGTAGGATGATTCACCAAGCATATTCAGTGGCATCCCTCACCCCTTTTTATCTTTAAGTTCACAAATTTATTCAAATTCTGATTTTTAGAATTTTTAAATATGGATTCAGGATCTTATTTTCAAATATTTAGATTTTATCAAATTTAAAGAATAACTGCGATGAAGACTATTTTGAAACGAGAACCCGTATGGTCAACTGTTAGTAAAATTATGTTTTGAACATTTTGTTACCTATTTGGTACCTCCTTACATTTGAATGAACAATTCTGAGTTATTGAACTTAATATACTAATGATAATAGTGCTTAATAAAGGTTTTATATGAAATATATCTAATGCTTAAATACTCGGACAATTATAAAATTTTAAATATATTAATATTATTACTAAACTTTCAAATCATCATAGCCCCATATCTTTTCTTAAACCTAATACTATGAACTATTATCCTTGAAGTTGAATAACTAAAAAACTACTGGTTCAAATTTTGATCTACACCAACATTTTCAAAAAAATGATTTCCTTAAAAATGTAAAGTAAAAACAACTTTACTCATTTAAATAAATAAATTTTATTTTTATTTTATTACATTCTTTAAATTACATAGAAAAATCTAAGTATTTGAAAATATTGTCATAAGTTTATTTAAAAATTCTTATAACCATAATTTATACAAATATATTATTAAAAGAAAAACGAGGGTGCAGATCAGGCTTGGACATTCATCCTATATAGTTAATAGTTATACTCTACTATGTATTTTATTTAAAAGTAAAAACTCGTCTTTATAATGTTACCATAGAAATAAATTTACTATTTTATTTTTTTAGTACTTATCTATTTTAATTTTAAGTAGTAATTTATGTTATTTAATATAAGTATATGCCATAAGTGATAACGTAAAAACTTTAAAGACATGTTATTTAAATTTCAACAACAGTATAATATCTACTTATGTGTATTAATCAATAAAATACTCATACAATTATGGTAGACTATATAATATCAATATGTACCTAAAATAAATAATAATTAAATGTATTATTATTCAAAGTTATTATACGTATTAGGTAATATTGTTGTACAGTAGGTATAGAAAAATCTAGAAGGTAGGTACCTAAATGTTTTTAACAACTCGACTACTCGAGTAATAATGTTTTATTGTTTGTTAATTGTTAAAATATATATATAATTATATATATCAAATAATTTAGTTTCAGTTTAGAATTAAACTTAAATTAAATTACCATTTCACTTTTTAATTGTAACTTCATAAATGCATATACGAGTACAATATTGTTTTTGTGTTAATATATTTTTAATAAACAATTAAATAGCATACAGAATAGAAAGGATGAATTACCTTGGAACTATATTTTTATTTATTAAATAATATATTATATCATACAGTATGATTATTTTTTTAAAAATGTAATGAATTATAATTGTGTTATTCCGTCAAGGAAGTCTGGTTCATCTGGATATTATTATATAGCTGACATGTGTAGATACATTATATAGGTAGGAAGGTTTAGAATGTTACGTTGGCAGTAATATAAACATTGAAGTATACACATTGCATAGTATGTACAACTGTAATTATACATTAATCGATCTTATATTTAAAAAGGAAATCTAAATGATGAACTATTAAAAATAAAACCAATTATAAAAAAAAAAAAAAATGGTTTTTCAAATATTATTTATATATTCTAGGCTTGTTTTCTTTTTATCCTAAATATAATATAATTTAACCTTTTCAATGTTATAAACCAGTAACCACGTATAATATATAATATCTATACTTCTCATAATATTCATTAAACATTAATCTAATGTTGACACTGTTTTGATATCGTGAATTCTATTTTTATGATATCGTTATATCAAGTGGATTTTTAGTCTTAAATATCATACAATGCTTTATTAAATTTAATAAAGGTTATTTACGAATTTTTCATGGTATTCTATCACAATACTTCATCATAGGTAAGTTGTAAAAGTGAGCATATTACTAAATAATTACATATTAAACTTGTCAACGATATCTTAAAGAAACGTATTAATTAATTTCATTCGTTAGATTTCGCTCGCATCAGCTGCTTGGCTTGACCTACATCCATGTTTCATAAGGTAGGTCTGGTTACTGCTGCAATTGTTTTCATTATTATTATTTGTTCATAAATACTGCTGTATGACAAACCTGATAACCTGATGGACAATGATACATTTCTGCAGAGGTCATTGTCAAGCCCGGATTAAGGGGGGGGTCCAGGGGGGGCCATGGCCCCCGGGCCTCCATTTATTTAGGGGCCTCAGATTTGTCCATTATAGGCTATATAACACCGCATAAATCACTTTAAAAAAATCGATGATTATTTAGCGAGGAAAAAAGCTTGTAAACTGTAATTTATAAATAAAATGATACTTAATTCTTGATTTATTGCTATGTACCTATAATACCTATATATTATATTTATTATAACAGGTACCTAGATATTAATATACATTATTTTTTTTTTCGTACAGGGGCCTCATTTAAACTTTGGCCCCTGGGCCTCAAAATGTCTTAATCCGGGCTTGGTCATTGTTATTGGTTAAGTTCAAATAGTTCAATGAGACAAAACTTTCAACCCAAATAAATAAATAGTCAGTCTTTATTATATTGATAATTATATAATTATACTTTTAGTAAACACTAAATTAGGTTAAATGATAATGTTTGCTTGTATTATAATTTATACATTATTAAGTTTATAACAGGACTGAAATGTGATAGTTAACAATACTATTGTCTGTATCGTTCTGGATTTGGAAATATAAGTTAATGTTAAACATGATATACCCTTAAAGAACAATATATAGGTTGATAAATCTTAAATTAACTATATAATTATAATAATAACGCCAACGCATGATGCATTTATATATTATTATTTTTAATAGTCTTCAAGTTATTTTTAAAAGTCTAGCAGATTATATGCATAATTTGCAAAGTAATAACAAAAAAGTAAACTGGTTGAATTCTACGGCCCTTGCATTATATTAAATAATGGGACTTGTACAACGTGTCCTATAAATTACCTTCTGACTCTTCCAATGATCCAATTGCCCTAAATTTGAATACACGGACATAATACGACCTCCGATAATATGAGTATCGTTTACTATAATAATATTATGTTATATAATACTGTATATTATATATTATAATAAATAATAAAGTTATAAATATAAATAGGTATAAATAAGTAATTATAATCAAGTCTAAAGAAAAAGAAGAAAGGGCTTAGTGAAATGGAAAATAATAAAAAAAAAACAATAATTTTTCAGACAAATTATATTTTAACTACAAATTAGGTATTTAGCTTATAGATTGGTATTATGTTGTATTATATTCATATTATAGGTACTACTGTCCAACTACAGTCTAATTATTATTTGTAGAAGAGGACTTACATTTTAAGCATTATGTTATTTATGTAATGCATCAAAAATTATAGATTTAATTCTAAGCAAATAACTTATCTTATCGAGAACAAAATTCCTTTCCAGTTTCTACTAATGCGTTTGTATGAGTTTGTTTCTAAAAGTAAATATTTACCTAAGTATATAATAACTGAAGCGTAGATTCTTGCCAAAAGATATAAAAGCCAAGATTGACACTACCCCTGTACCATACAATTATATTTATAACTTACTACTGTGAGTAGAGATATTGATCTGACGTTAAGTAGTATTTTTGTGAGGGGTTGTGACTTGTGGTAAATGAAATTTACAACTCAAACTCAATATAAGAGCCAACTAAAAAAAAAAAAACGTTGACAGCCTTTTTTCACACTGAACAAGATTCTAATCTAAATATTAATGAACAGCTAGTGGACAGTGACAAAAAAACTAAAAGTATACAATATTATACTGCACTTTTCATAAATTAATTAAATAGGACATAGTACGAACGTCATGTATATTAATATTATATACCTACCTATTATACGTAAAATACATTAGTAATAACTAATAATAACCTTTTATCAGTGGAGTAGTAGAGGGAACACGCGGGTACACACCTTCTAATTTTATATTTATGCGTATAGGTACCCTTAACGAAATCATAGTACTCAGGTTAGGAGTAGCCCCCCTCCCCCCACATAAACTTTTAAAGGACTACATCACTGTCGTTTATACAAGACTGTGATAATGATCCAAATTATTCAGTTATACCTACCTGTCATTAGTTACTTCGAATTTATTATGTTTATAAGTGTTTGTATATATGATTATATCAATAATTTCAGTAGAATGGCACTTTTCCAAGTAGGTACCTACAGCATTGTTTTAATTAGTCGGCTGCGAAAAAAAAATACTTTGTAGGAATATTATGTATTGTGAATATGTCTTTGTTAAGTACATTTTGGAGTATAACATTTCAAATTTTCATAGTTGATTTTGAAAGTTAAATCCTACATGAAGTAGGTGCTCAAGTAGATACATGTATTTAATATATAAAAATCAACTTTTTTCTCGTGATACAACAATGTTAATTTGAATTCAAATAATCAAATGCAATTACAAATTAATGCATCATTCGAAAACAAATAAGTATACAACCATAATATTCATCCGCAAACGATATCGCCACACCTAAACCGGCTTATCACACATGGTGTGTAGGTATGTGTCGGTATAGTATAAAGCTCAATTCGGATTAATCGAGTAATTAAACAAAAGTGATATCTTTTGTAATTCACTAACAGTGAACAGCAATGGATTTAATGAGAAATATAATAATGGCTTTATCATTGATTTTGTAGGACTTAAGAAAAATGTAAGTGTGTGAATTATATGTTGATTTATGGCCTACAGTATGATCAAAATGCAAAAAATAGAGAATTGTTAACACAAAATACAGGTTATATAAAATAGTATATCAGCTTCGACTGCATACAATAAAATAAACTAATTTAATAAATAT